CGTCCACGCCCTCCTAAAACGCCTCGTTTAAACACGCCCCCACATGTCTACGTCACGATGTAGGAAGATTTGCATAACGCCGCTCAAATGTTCACACAAAGAAAGAAGGCATAACTTTTATTCTCGCTGTAGTGTTGTTGCTGCCGCAGGCATGTCGTGGAGACGCTGTGTTTCGTTGTGAAAGCGAAACTACTTTGTTTGACCTTCCAAAAGAGGACGATATCCGCTTCGTCATGCCTGGAGCTGATCCGTGCTGGTCGCTGAGGAAATACATCAATTTGGCGCTGTGGATCGCCGGATCAGCTTTCACCGTGGACGAAGCGGAGTCCAGCCTGGGGTCGTCACACGTGGTTGCCTCAAGCCCGCCGGCCGCTCCTTCGTCGAATCCGCTGGCTGCACCCTTCTCAAGCCCGCCGGCCGTTCCTCACTCTAGCACGCCACCCGCCATGTGTGATGCTGTGTGTTTCGTTGTGAAAGCGAAACTACTTGAAACTGTTTGGCCTTCCAAAAGAGGACACGACTAGAAATCAGTGGTTAAGTTGTATTTACAACACTGTTCCAGAACAGTTCAACCCAAATATTCAGATGTGTGCAGTGCATTTTATGGAGAACTCTTTCCTGGGAGAGTAGACTACAATGCCGGCTGTTCTGACTCACAGACTGTAAGTACGTTTTAATTTAAAGGATTTGCCACTGATGATTCAAACGTGAGTTTTGAGCAGTGTAGATTAGCGCTTATTGTTTTTCATTTCTCCGATCACAAATGCAGACATGGCTGGACTCCCCTTCGTCCACGGTGAAAGCTCAGATCCGACGATCCACAGAGCTAAGTTGATTTCCTCAGCGATCAGCACGGATCAGCTCTAGGCATGACGAAGCAGATATCGTCCTCTTTTGGAAGACCAAACAAAGTAGTTTCGCTTTCACAACCACTCCAAAGAGAAAGGAAAAATTGAAATCGCATCATATGACCCCTTTAAGGCTTTAACCCAGAAAATGCTGACTGAGGTATGTTCAGGTCTACCTTTAAAGGCAAAACAGAAGAATATACAAAATAATTAACAGCTATTGGCTCATACAAATGACTTTAAAGGGGTCATCTGATGCAAAATTCCCTTTTACATGTAGTTTGAACTGAAATGTGTCTTGGCAGTGTGTGTACACAACGACCCTATAATGATAAAAATCCACCCAGTGCTTTTTAAAAAATCTTATAAATCCAAACCCCTTTCTATTATCAAGCCAATCTCAGATTCTTGGCAGAATGACATAGTTCTGCACAGGCCCCTCCCACGATTGTTGATTGACAGTGGTGTCAGTCTTTGGTTTTTTGAGATGGTCCTCACTGCAGAACACAAGATCCAAGGGGGCGTGGTTGCACCAGATCCAACTCCTCCCACCTAACATATACCTAAACCTACCCATCTCCACCCCCTGATCCCCAAACCCACCCATCTCCACCCCTAAACCTACCAATCTTCAGCCCCTAGATGTGGATCCAACCACGCCCCCTGGATCTTGTGTTCTGCAGTGAGGGGCTACTGTTTTTTTTTTTTTTTATCACAACTCCGCCCTGAGTGAGCTGTCATCAGAGTCCGCCATTGTTTCGATGCCTGAGCGGTTATAGACAAGAATGGCTCCTTAGCGATTGACATGTTTTTTTTGTTGGATGTAATAACGAACATAGCAGTCGTCATTTACTCCCGACATCTGAGGGACTGAAGAAGCAGTGGATTACCTTTGTTTCTGAAGGGAATGCGCTCCCGATCTGCCTAAATGTGTCGATGTTCGCGTGAATCATTTGTGATCTAGCTTCACCTACATAACGGATTTTTTTTTATGAATCTTTGCAAATCGCCTTTCCTAATAATGTGCTGGTTAGCAAGTTTCATGATGAATGCGGCTAAAGTTTACAGTCTCTCAGAGAGCGGCTCGGAAGAGAGGGGCGGGGTGAGCAGAGCTCATTTGCATTTAAAGGAACGTGCAACATAACAGCTTGCTGTAAACAGAGCTGATTTTGACAGGGTAAAAAGGGTGTCGTTTTGCACTACCATTGAGAAATTTTAACCAAAGTATATTATAGATTTTCATTAAGACTCTAGAGAATCATATCAAACTGTCAAATCAAATCCGATGACCCCTTTAATCGTCCAATAAACATATGACACAATTTTTAAAGGGGTAATGAACTGCCTTTTTAAAGATTATTTGGTACTGTTCACTGAGGGTCACTTATAATGTTATCAAGATTTTTACATCAAAAAAATTTAGAACTAATATGCTCTTTTCTGTCCTGTTTTGACCTCCCGCATCAGAACGCTCTGTTTAAATATCCGTGGCAGATTGTAGACTCGGAAGTAAACGCCCACTGCTATGATTGGCTAACATGGTATGATTGGCTAACATTGGTATGTTTGACAGCCTACATCCTTCACAGATGGATGCTGCTGTAATTTAGGTTAAAAACGCATATATACTACATATCAAATGATCTGTAATAACAGACAAAGCAATAGTGACTCACACTTGTTGCGACATTACTGTCGGATCAAATATAGTCAATACAGCATCATCTTTTAGTTTCAATCATTCTGAAAATCCTGCGTTGAATTGTGCTTTGTTTGTAAATGAATCTGCGGTGAAATTAAGTGAACAAAGGACAAAGTGGGCGGGGTTAAACAGGCAGTGATGTAAAAGAAGGTGTTGATCTTCTTCTGCGGAGGCAGTGCTTATTCACACTATTACATCATAGATTTGTACGTTCCACAAGCTGTCATTTTGGCAGATTGGCTTCAATATAAGCTGTTTTTATAGACCAACAAGAAAGTTTTAAGCTCTGAATCTTACAGGATTGAATCTTATTATGTCAAAAGACCAAGATAATTTTGATTTTGCAGTTCATGACCCCTTTAACTTTTAACACACTTAGCCTAGTGCCACCAAGCTCATACACCGAAACATATGACAACAGCACCCTCCCCGGGTGAGTGTAGCATGTTATTAACTAATATAATAACTACAAATATTCTGTGAGAGTCGGCAACAATTGACTTAAATAGTAAACTATGTAAAATAGTAGATAAAAGTAAATATTAAATTTCACAATGAATTAGCCTATATCAGAAGTTATGCTAACAGTCGAGCATGTAAGGTGAATGTGTTGTATTTCAGTATTTGCGGGGTCTGCTGTGGACCAGTAACATTGTTTAAAACCCAGCTCTGACAGACTATAGTAAAAAAAAATGTTTTTTTTTTTACTGTTTTCAGCACCTCTTTATATAGTGTTCTCAATCCCCATAACCCCCCCCCCCCCCAACACATACATACACAAAAAGAAAAAGCTCACTGCTTTTGACTGAATAACTTTTTTTAATAAGGATTAATTTACATATTCCAGTTATACAGTGTACATGCAGTGTTATACATGTTTTACATTTGTTTACTTTTTCAACTTCTGTATCTGAAAGCTACTGTTAAACCTATAAGAGCATGACTTAATTTGTATTTTTGTTCTATAGTATATATTTGTTTGTGCTAGAAAAATACCTTAGCTTTGAGCCATTTATATTTTGTCAGACTACACTTTACTCTTTTTCTGAACTAGCAAAATGTATACTTGATATATAAAGAACAGTACTGCAATTACTTGTTAATGAGTTTATTAAAGAAACATTTAATGTTATATAATATGTAAAAAAATTACAAAGTTAATGTTGTTAAGAAATATTTGAATGCAATAAAAGGTTGTCATATTGTCTTATTTGCATTTTCTTATCTTGTGTTTGTCTTATAATGTTGACCTGTTGAACGTTAAATGGATCCAATGTTCAATGAAAATGATTTGATGATGCAGCAAAAAAAGCTAGTATACCTTACTACATGTGTGTTTAAACTTTGCTAATTTAAAACAATGATCAAAACAGTAATCTATTTTAATGACAAAAGTTCAAATAAGTGAGCAAATGCAAGTGACAACTATTTGTATCAGTGTGACGATCCTGAGTCTCCTGATCCTATTAGAGCAGAGTGTAGAGGATTTTGATTGGTTGTCAACCTGCTAATTGATCATTAGTTTGAGTATTTAATGCAGAGTTCACACTGCACGATTTTCAGAGACGTCGCATCACTGTTGGTTTCACACTGAACGACTATCTGGGGTAGCATTCAGTTGTTACTGTGTTCACATTGCACGATGGAACGACGACAGGACACTGCATGACTTCACAATAGGAAGAATCGCCGACAGCTCTGTCTGGTGCAGGGTTGCCAGGTTTTCGCTACAAAACCCGCCCAATTATTACTCAAAACTAGCCTCAAAATAGCCCAATTGCTTTCGAGGGGGTCCCCCAGTAAAAGTCGGGTTCGGGGGTAAAATACAAACTCCTGGTACAATTCACATTCCAGGGCCTAAATATCATGTTAATTGGGGTCGCTTCAAGCTACTGACATAAAAAACAACCGGCGGCAATCGCGAATTTGGCAACACTGGTCCGCAAACTACGTTTCATATAACTCCTCCCCGAACTTCCCGCTGCCCTGTATCGTGCTCTATCATTGGCTGTAGGTCATGGCCGATGTGCTTTTCAGTCAGAACTCATTTCACACAGCGTGATTGTGAATCGCCGACGGTTCCAGATATTTAGCATGCCAAATATTTCACGGGCGTCGGCGACGTGTCGGCGATTTCCTCAGATCGCGTCTTTGATAATTCACACTGCGTGATTGTCACTCGCGTGAACGAGCACCGATTTGCCTCCGATTTCGGGCATTTGTTGGCGATTTCGCAAAACCTGTCGGCGAGTGAAAAATTGGGCTAAAATCGTGCAGTGTGAACTCGGCATAATAGTGTTATTTGGGGGAGGCACTCCCGGTGGGACAGTTCTCTCAGGAGTGTCTCTTTTTGACTCTTTTCTTGTTTGTTTCTTTTGGCATTTCTTATATTATGTAGTTAAGTTTTGTTGTTGTTATATTAATTTAATTATTTTCATTAATACCCCTAGACTTCTGTTTAATGTCATTATTAATTGTTGTTGTAATAGTTTAATTTAATAAAACAATTAGCTTTGATTAGACTTTGTTGTCTGATCCCTCTTTTATGTTGCAAACTTAAACGAGCGGGTTGTAACAATCGGCCAATAGTGATTTGTTAAAATCGGAATCGGTATCAGCCACTTAAAAAGGGATCTGTTTATTGCCGTAAGTATCGTTAAACCTTGATAGAAGGTAATCAACTGACTTGACAGGAGGATATTTATCTGATCCATCACAGCATGAAATGATGGCCTCATCATCAGGTTGTACAAAGAAGGCCAAAGACTGACGTGTGCTGGAGTCACCTGCAGGGGGCAGCAAAACCCTATGAACCTGAGGGTCAGAACAATAGAAAAGAATTAAATGAGCATTGCCTGCACTGCACAATTACATGAAGCATTAGTAAAGAAACTTACAGCAGACACATAGACATCACTGGTCCACCTTTGCATCAGGTCTGCTATGTTAATCAGAACTGTTCCAGGAATGCTGGGGGCTGAAATGAACTCTCCAGCCCGGTTCAGAACCTGAAGGAGAAGAATGCATCCAGATCCAGAATTACTATACTAAATGATAAAGGAGCTCATTAATCTTTTCTCCTCTTGTCCTATGTTGGTCCTCACCTGCAGTCCACCCTCTGAGCTTTGGAAGACCAAAGTGATACTACCATAATCAGAGTGTTCACCACAGCGCAGCTGATTTTCCTTCACACATGTGCTGTTCACCGGAGGGTAGTACAGAGTCCGTAGAGTCGTTCCATTCACATCACCTTAAAACCACCCACATCATTAAGGTCTTGCAGATCTCCCAGCCATTGACTCACTGGCAGAAAGAAGTACTGTAATGCATATCAGTTTACTTACTTCCAATATGCTTATGTGCGCTGAGAAAGACCTCTGCTTCCAGGTTCAAACCAAGAGCCATCACTCGGATCACTCTGAGAGAAAGTTCCTTACAGCGCAGGTAAAATGATACGTGGGCATCTCGAAAATCATCAACTCCTTCTGAAGGCCAATTCTGAACACATTGAGAGTGGAGTGATGTAAAGTTTCAGGGTTCCTTAAAGTATTGTTGTGTTAATGCTATTAAAAATGAATGCATATTAAAATACACAAAATACACAATTCTAAAGCATTTCCACATACAGGATATTAGTGCCGTCAAACGATTAATCGCATCCTAAATAAAAGTTTTTGTTTACATAATATATACTGTATGTGTGTACTGTGTATATTTATTATGTATATATACATACATACAAACACATGCATGTATATATTTAAGACAAATATGCTATGTTTATATATTAAATATATTTATATATAATATAAAATGTAATAATATAAATGTATATGCATGTAAATATTTTCAAAATATATACATGCATGTGTGTGTATTTACAGTGGTGTGAAAAGGTTTTTGCCCCATCCTGTTTTTTTATTTTTTTTATTTGCATATTTGTCACACTTGAATGATTCAGATCATCAAACAAATTTTAATATTACACAAAGATAACCAGAGTAAATACAAAATGCAGTTTTGAAATAATTATTTAATTTATTAGGGGAAAAAAAGCTGTCCAAACCTACCTGGGCCTACGTGAAAAAGTAATTACCTGCTAAATCTAATAACTGGTTGTGCCACCCTTTGCAGCAACAACTGCAATCAAGCGTTTGCGATAACTGGCAATGAGTCTGTTACAGCGCTGTGGAGGAATTTTGGCCCACTCTTCTTTGCAGAATTGTTTTAATGGGTTTTCGAGCATGAATGGACTATTTAAGGTCATGCCACAGCATCGCAATCAGATTTAAGTCCGGACTTTGACTTAGCCACTCCAAAACCTTAATTTTGTTTTTCTTGAGCCATTCAGAAGTGGACAGGCTTGGGTTTGGCTAGTGAAATTTAACTCAGCTTTCTAAAATAATGTGATAAATCATAATTCTTTCATGATTTAACAGGAGAGGGGCGATTAATTTTTCACGTAGGGCCAGGTAGGTTTGGACAGCTTTTTTCTCTTAATAAATGAAATTGTCATTTAAAAACGGCATTTTGTATTTACTTGCAATATCTTTGTGTAATATTAAAATGTGTTTGTTGAATCTCTGAATCTTATAAGTGTGACAAATATAAAAAATAAATAAATAAATAACAATGTGCTTCAAGTGTCTTCAGTGAGCTCCAAGTTCAACGCGCTCTTGGAAGCTTCTGGTGTTGGCGGACGGCGCTTCAGCGGTGGTCGTTCCTGTGTAGAGTGGGTTGCGCACTTCAGGCTGCACTACCCTGTTGTGTTCCCCTGTGTGCCTCAGCACTTAAAGAGCATTTCCCTGAAAGAGCAATTTCTCTAAAAGCAGCTCCACGGGTGCGTCTTTGTAAAGACGACGGATCGTCTTTTTAAAGATGCCGTTTCACCCGTGCATTTCTGGGTGCGGTCGTTACCGGGCACCGGGTGATGGTCATGATTGCTGGCTCACGTGTCTGGGTATGAAGCACGCTGAGGTGGCGTTCGTGGATGAGTCATGTTCCCATTGTGGGAAGATGACCATCTCAAAGCTGCGGACCAGACTTCACTACCTCCAGGGGGGCGGAGTTCCGTTGCCTCTGCCGTGATCTAGTGCTTGCTCTGGCGGCGGCCAGATGAGGACTACTTCCAGCAGTAGCGCGGGCGGTCTGAGGGTTACAGTGGTAGCTCAGGGAACCAACCCTCGGGGGCCCACCACTCCTCCAGCACTCCGCAACCAGCCTTTCCGCCGAAGGAACGGTGTACCAGTGTACCAGCGGTATCCCTCGGGGCTCCTCCCGATGACCGGATGTCGATCGCTGCATCTGAGGGAGAGCTCTCTGGAGAGGAAGATTTGGCTGCGCTGCCGCCCTCCGGGATGGTGGCAATGCCTGAATCGGATCCAGAGATGTCTGCTATGCTTTCCCGGGCCGCCGAAAGGGTAGGGCTCGAGTGGAATCCTCCACCGTGTCCCGAGCCCTCGAGGTTGGATGATTGGTTTCTCGGGGTGGCTCGCGCTGGTTCTCAGCGCCCCGCCCCGGTGCCTTTCTTCCCGAAGGTGTATGAGGAGCTTACCAGGTCATGGACGGCACCTTTTACTGCCAGAAACCGGCCTTCTAGCTCCTCCTCCCTCACCACCCTCGACGGTGGTGCAGCGAAGGGATTTTCGGTAATCCCCCCGGTGGAGCGGTCGGTAGCGATGCAGTTGTGTCCTAAGACCGCCTCCTCCTGGCGGGGAGACCCGTTGCTCCCTTCCCGGGCCTGTAGGCATTCGTCTGGTCTGACCGGCGGTGCTTATATGGCTTGCGGGTAAGCTGCTTCCGCCTTACACGCTATGGCGTTACTGCAGGTGCACCAGGCCAAGGCATTGAAGGACCTGCACGAGGGTGGTCATGATCCGGAAGTTCTGAAAGAGCTCCGAACCACCACTGACCTCGTGCTCCGAGCGACAAAGGTCACCGCGGGTTCTCTGGGTCGTGCGATGTCCTCGCTTGTGGTCCAGGAGCACCATCTCTGGCTGTGTCTGGCCGACATGAGGGACGCCGACAAGGTTTGGTTCAATAATGCCCCTGTGACCCAGACCGGCCTTTTTGGCGATGCGGTCGAGAGCTTTGCCCAGCAGTACTCGGCTGCACAGAAGCAGACTGAGGCGATTCGACACATCCTGCCCAGGCGGGCAGCTGCTGCCTCCACCTGGATGCAGCTCCCCAGCCTGCTCGTTGCCGAGGGCAGCCCCCTGCGTCTGCCCCCGCTCCAGCGCTGCATCTGCAGCAGCCTCCAACCAAGCAGCACCATGGAGCCGGGCGTAGGCAGGCCATCCAGTCCGTCCAGGCCCCGGCAAACCTGGCGGCAAGCGGAAGAGCAAGCAGCCCTGAGACGGGCGACCCAGAGATGGAGGGATCTGCTCTTCGGGAGATGGTGAACGCACCACTCCCTACCCCGGAGGAGGGCCGGTGGAAAATCTTTTGTTTTGTTTTTCCCTGCCGTCGGCCTCACGGTCGACGGTACCCAAATTCTCGACAAAAGAGCAGTTTTCACTATCTCTAGGTCTCAAGAGGGCACAGAGAATTGCGGACGGTTCAACCCCGGACCGCACTCATCCTCCTCTGTCTCCAGCAGGCAGCAGTGGGCGGTTCGAGAGTGTCAACAAAGGCCCTACTCACGCACCCTCTGCCAAACTGTGGAACCAGGTAAGTGCTGCACCGCACACTCAGACCCCTCTTCGGTCTGCTCACAAGCTGTCCGAGTTTGGGTCCCTGCGTTCCACGTCGCTGCCCCACCACGGGTATGGCAGTACGACAGTGAAGGCGGCCGATGCTTCTGCTCCTGATGCGATAGAGCCGGTCCCTCCAGCCGATATGAATACGGGGTTTTACCCAAGAAAGGCGGTGGGTTACAGCCAATCTTGGACCTGCATGTCTTGAACCGGGTCCTGCACCGGTTACTATTCAAGATGTTGACGCAGAAACGCATCTTCGGGTGCATCTGTCCCCGAAATTGGTTTGCAGCGATTTACCTGAAGGACGCATACTTTCATGTGTCGATCCTTCCGTGCCACAGACCATTTCTGCGGTTTGTGTTTGAGGGACGTGCATTCCAGTACAAGGTCCTGCCCTTCGGGCCGTCCCTGTCTCCCCGTGTCTTCACGAAAGTCGTGGAGGGGGCTCTTGTTCGCCTCAGAGAGCAGGGTGTTCGCATCACATCTCGATGATTGGCTTATACTAGCACAATCTCGGGTTCAGTTGTGCGAGCACAGGGATCTGGTGCTTCGGCACCTCAGCCAGTTGGGTCTTCGGGTCAACTGGGAAAAGAGCAAACTCTCCCCGACGCAGAGGATCTCTTTTCTCGGTATGGAGTTGGATTCGGTCGAACAGACAGCACGCCTCACAGAGGAACATGCACGGTCGGTGCTGACCTGCTTGAATTCGTTCAAGGACAGAACAGCGGTCCCACTGAAACTATTTCAGAGGCTCCTGGGGTATATGGCAGCTGCAGAGGCAGTTATGCTGCTGGGGCTGCTTCATATGAGACCGCTCCAGCACTGGCTTCATGGCTGAGTCCTGATGTGGACGTGGCAGCGAGGCACTCACCGGGTCCAAGTTACTGTCGCCTGTCGCCAAACCTTCACCCCATGGTCAGACTTTACTTTCCTCCGGGAAGGAGTGACCCTAGAACAGGTCTCCAGGCATGCTGTGGTTTACACGGATGCCTCCACCACCAGCTGGGGGGCCACGTACGGGCATGCAGTGTCGGGGGTTTGGACGGGCCCCCATCTGCACTGGCATATCAATTGCCTAGAGTTGTTAGCAGTGTGCCTTGCCTTGAACCGTCTCAAAGGGTGCTTACGTGGCAAGCACGTGCTGGTCCAAACGGACAACACAGCGACCGTTGTGCACATCAACCGACAAGGTGGTCTGCGCTCCCGTCACATGTCGCAACTCGCCCGCCACCTCCTCCTTTGGAGTCAGAAGGTTCTGAGGTCACTTCGTGCCATTCACATTCCGGGTCTGCTCAACCGTACGGCCGACGAGCTGTCACAAGCTACTCTCCTGGGAGAAAGGAGACTCCATCCCCAGACGGTCCAGCTGATTTGGAGATGTTTCAGAGCCGCTCAGGTTGACCTGTTTGCTTCTCCAAAAACCTCTCACTGCCAGTTGTTCTACTCCCTGACCGAGGGAACTCTCGGCACGGACGCACTGGCACACAGCTGGCTGTGGCGCCTGCACAAGTATGCGCTTCCCCCAGTGAGCCTTCTCGCGCAGACGCTGTGCAAGGTCAGGGAGGACGAGGAGCAGGTCCTGCTTGTGGCGCCGTATTGGCCCACTCGGACCTGGTTCCCCAAACTAATGCTCCTCGCAACAGCCCCTCCCTGGCAGATTCCTCTGAGGAAGGATCTACTGACTCAGAGACGAGGCACCCTGTGGCACCCGCGTCCAGACCTCTGGAAACTTCATGTCTGGTCCCTGGACGGGACGCGGAGGTTCTAGGTGACCTACACCAAGAGGTAGTTGACACCATC